ACAACTGCCACTTCCTTCTGTAAAGGAGGCGCAGTCTATCGGGGCCAAATCGCATTACATTTACCTATTCATTTGTGACTGCGGCGCCAGTTACATAGGCAGGACCGATAGAACATTGAGTTCCCGAATGAAGGAGCATATACCTAAGTGGGTTCAACGTTCGACCGCGCAGGAAACTGGCCACAGTCAAGCTGCTTGTCTGCGTAAGCCACCAGCCTCTTCGATCGGCCGACACTTATTGACCACAGGTCACCGAGTCGAGGTCAATTCGGCGTTTACAATCCTATTACAGCACACCAATTCTCGCCTCCTCCGTTTCGCAGAGGCGATTGCAATTAACCTGATTAAGCCGATGCTTTGTGTTCAGGACCAATTATCGGTCAGCATTAGACTGCCCTGGGGATAGGGGTGATAACCCTGTCTCAGCATGTGTTGGTCTATTTGTCTGTTTGTATGTATGTTTGGTCGCACCCTTCACTGAATAAATATTATTGCGAGTTATTGTTAAAGGCACTGATGAGACAATACGAAATGCGTGCATTTGCCACTCTTCGTCTTCTTACTGTGCTTTTCAAATTACTAAAGGGAACTAACTGTTTCAAAGGCATTTCTGCCTGATTTATTAACCTATCGACACATCCCTTTTCTGTACTCGTTGCCCAGGTCCGTTCCCGTTTGTTACTTGCGTTCCGCTCTCTGCTCATATTGTTGGATTGTGGTGGCGCCTTCCGAATTCGTCCATGACGTCTGCACCCATTTCGGTCCCCGCTCATTCTAGTGGTTTTTCAGTCTCGTGAGTGATCGCTGCCTTCATCACCACTACACGAGCCCCCGCTTGAAGCTACTGTTCCCTCGAATACCATAGCCACAGTAGAGCTGCGTTTACCCAGCAGCTCACCGTCTCACTGACAATTTTGTAGTTCCCTCCTTGTCGATCAGTTACTCTGTACAGAAGCTTCCTACGTTCCTTGAAGTTGCCTGCACCGGGTCCCCTGCGGATCGGTCGATCGTCGTTTGGTACCTTGACTTTTTCCCCATTACGGAATGGTCGCCATTTTTGCGATGCATACCTTGTATCCTAGTTCCGTTATTTTCGGAACTGTCATGAATTGGTTTCTTCTCTGTCCGTTGCTTCTAATATCGCATGATGCGCTGTTCAAGTTCATTCGTTAAGCATTTGTAGAGTGTAATGCTTATTTCTCTACTTAACTGTAACTAGAATATAGCAACCTTGGTGATCGAATGCATGCTAATTTGATACGCGAGTGGAACTTTCGGCAACGCTTTCTCCCACGCTAGTTTCGTGCAGTTTATCCATGTCTTCAAGGTTTGAGTAAACTGCTCTGTCATTCCGTTGGTCTGCGGGTGGTAAGGTAACGTACATCTTCGCTAGATCCCCCACTTCCGCAACATCCCTTGTAAAGGTTCAAAGCAAAGTCGTTGGTCCATAGTCACGTATCTTTGTGTTCCATACCTTGTTGGCATGTCGAATTCAAATAGCTGTGACGCGGTTTCGCCTGTATGATCTTTCATCCGCACGGCTTCTACCCATCGAGTGAAGTGGTAATCATCACAAGGAGGTACTTGTTTCCTGAGCGACTCAGCGGTAGTGGTTAAAAGACGCTCAACTCCCAACATTGCAACCGTTCGTCGCTTTCACTAGATCGCATTTGTGGTTTCGGTGTATCCTTATCGCACTTTGTTTGTCAGCTTGGGAAGCGCCGAATGTATGCACCTACTCCCGTTCGCATGGATGGCTAAAGCACTTCTCTCTATAGCAGTCCAAATACTCTTTCAAAACCCGTATGGGCATTATCATGGACAAATTGAATCATCCGTGTTCCTTGGTTTACTGAAATAAGCCGTAGTTTCGTCCGTTGGATGCTACCACCAAATTACCTTTCGAGAGGTTAAACCTGTCCCCGGTCCCGTGGAGTTCCTTCAGCTCTCCTGATGTTCCTTCCGGCTTGGTTCCCGATTGTAAATGAGTACAAACTAACTTTATGAATTCATCCTCTTTCTGTTTTTCCAGTAGGTTCCTATCGTCCACCGCAACGGCACAAACTGATATAGCATTGTCTGGTATGAGTTCGTCCAAAGTCAGGGGCGAGAGCATATCTGGTAGCACCTTCTCCGTTCCGTCCAACTGCTCGATTGTAAAGGTAAATTCTTGAAGCCGATAGGCCAGTCTTACCAGACGCACCCTTGGGTTTTTCGTTATGATGGCGATTTGTGGTCAGTGATGACATGGACCTCATTCGCTAAGAGGTACGTTCTCCACTCCTCCAAAGCGCACACGACCGCGACATTCCTACTTGGTCGGAGTCTACTATTTATCTGCGCCCGTTAGCACTCCACTGGCATATTTTGTCAGGCCAGCTGATTGGGATAGAACGGCACTGATTGAAACGCTACTTCCGTGGACCGCCACTGGGACCTCTTACTCGGATTGGGTATGCGTAAGAATGCTGGATCCTTTGCTATGCAAGACTTTATGTGGTTGAAGGCCTGCCTGTCTCGGATATCCAAACGAACGGTTCATCCTTGTGAAGCAGCTTAAGTAACGGGCTGATCATCTTTGCAAAATGTGGCATGCAGTACGAATCCTATGCTACCATTCCCAGGAATGTACGAAGCTGCCGTTTGGATTTTGGAATGGTAAACAACTTGATCGTCTCCGTTTCTCAGGGTGTGGTGGTATGTGGCCATTCACCACAAGGTAGCCGAGGCACACGATAGACTACTGGATCAGTTGTGACTTTTGCGATTCAGCTTTAAACCGGCTTTCTCTAGTCGTGGTACCGCTGCGGCTCTGGCACCATGAGCATGTTCGGTCTCAGAGAAAAGAATGATGTTATCTCCAAAGGCCACCACTCTTTGAGGGTGTTGCAGAATTAGCAGCAGTAGGTGTCGGAAGTTGGCAGCCGCGTTGCACAAGCCAACTGGCTTGCTCAAAAATTCTTACTGCTGGACTTTAACACTACAAGCTGTCTTATGACAATCTGTTTCTGCGATGGGAAGCTGCCAGTTTTCCAAGCGGAGATCTATCAACGAAATGCGCTTTGTGTTGTGAAGAGTGGAAAAATGTTCTTCCATCCGTGGGATAGGAAATTTCCTCATTCACCCTCACTCTGCATATCTCTCTAAACTCAATGCAGAACCGGTAGTTACCGTCTGCCTTTTTCCTCAGTAGGACCCATGATGTATACGGACTGTTCATTCTCCTAATGATCCCTTTATTCTTCATCGCTGCTACCTATTTCTGTAACTCTGACAAGGTGTTCTTTGGTGTTCTTTTCTAAACTGGCTTCCACCATCCTCCTGGGATTAATGGTATCCGATGTTCTATCTAGTTACGGAATACGTAATCATCATTCACGTTGGTGAACAAGTGCGCACAACTCTGTGTCCGTTCATTTATCATACAACTTGGGCGATCCGGTAAAGCGTTCACGACACCCAGTCGGTTAGATTGTCATGTGCTCCCCTCGATTGTTTCATCGCCCACAACTACCAGGTCCCTTCTCAAATTGATTCTGGCTCCAAGTCGCTTGAGGATATCATTACCGGCTATTGTAACCTTTGCCCTCTCCACGACAAACTTAAAATCAATAACAAGTGTTGCTCCTATCCTAACTTTAGATGTGTCTCCGTCACTTTCAAGCGATTTCCTCCGACAGCCTGCATGAGAATTGATGACTGCGTTAAGGGAATCTCATCGACTATTCGTGCCCACTGTGTCACGGGCTGATACCATACAACATTTATTTCGGCGACCGGCACTGTCCATCTACTCGAAATGGAAAAGTGACCAATTGGTCTTGAGGTGCTAGTGCCCAGAACCGACTTGCTCCGACAGAGAAAACGAACAGCACAATGACAGTCAGTAGCCCAAGGTGCAATTACACTACCTACCATATTTTCCCACAAGGTTCGTGTTTTCAACACAGATGTCCACATTGTCCCTTGAGAAAGATCTGCCGGACCGAAATGCTAGTAACAGTGGACGGCCAGTCATTGATCCATACGATCACATGGATTAGCTCAAGTATACGATTTCACACATTTGACGAGGAGTTGAGAATTACACTTGAAGCGAAACAAACTCATATTCACCTGGTCACTTGCGTTACTGTGGTTAGGTGGCTGTAATTTGACTGCACAATTTCCGAGAAATCATGGACAATGAGCACAACATTACTCGGAATATTAATTGCCTCTCAGACTTCGTTGAAGAGCGTAATGTTTTGCTTGCAGCCAAAAGAATTACACGAAGACAGCTCAACTAGTTTAAGCCCATTGAGAACAGTTCGGATTCGTCCTTAATTACATACATCCTGTCCCTTTGAGACTGACAAGTCTAAGATATTTAATTAACTATCCTCTAACCAAACGAGCAGAAAAAGGATTGAGTTCCATAGGGTGTGGATACCGTCTCACCACAGTCTTCTTTCATCCGGTCTATTCGTACGATTAAGCAGGCTGGGTTGCTTGAGAGATGTCATGGTTGTAATTGTTTCTACACAACTTTGGTCGATTTTCGCTGGGTAGAAGAAGAAACATACCAATTAAATATTCTCTTGATACATGGCGAGTTCATTTTGTGGAGTGCCCCTTGTTATTTAATAAGATAGTAATGCTTTGGCGTTAGTGCCAAGTTAGGCGCTTACATTGGTTCTAAAGTGACATCTCCACTTGACGCAACGTGGCTAAGCGGATTGACCTGTTTGCTACCTCAATATTACCTCTGGGTAAAATGTTTCATATCAGTGTGGTATTGGAAAACATGACTTCATCAAATTATACTCTAAGAAGTGCATGTCTAGCGGGGTTATCAGCAATGTCAATAAAGCACTTTTGTAGTTACAGGGCAAGTTAGGACAAGTCAAACATTTGACACATCGGTTTCGCTCCGCATGCTGTCAGATAGATGAGAGACAACATACCCTTTCATGCTTGACTGTAATAAATGTGTCATGTTAGCGGCTTTCATCACTTACCGATGCTTCAAATCCTTCTCGTAAGTTGAAAGACAGTTCATTGTGAAGAGCATTCCTGAAGGCAACCTGGAATTGCGGGTATTGCCTCATTATATTTTGCATCGATGCATCGAGTGTAATACATTGCAATTCGCAGTAGGTGAGTGATTTCACATCGTAGGCGGAAAAACCCAGAGTTGGCCAAAAATCAATATCACTTCCAAAAATGTCACATTTACCTTCAAAAGGAAACAAATTGATGATTACTGACGCCACGTTTACAGTACATAGATACGGAATCAAGTATTATGAAAGTACGACAAGGCCAATCGTATCACATTCCATCCCATTTGGGGGAATTTATCCTTCATTATCGTTGTACATGAATCCTTCGGAGGTAAGAATATAGTGAACCTGAGACAACTGTACAGTAATGCATGACTGCATGCACCTGACTGGTCGCATAGTGAACGTGATCCTCTCCGTCACGGAGTTCCACGTCTTCTTCTTCACCTAGCACAGTCATCATTACACTCATTCGCATAGGAATAACTCCCCGTGTTTAGCGGGCAAATTTTTACGGAATTATTTCCTACGGAAAGTGAGTTGCGCTACTCAAGTTGTTTTAGTGCGGTTCGTGCTCCTATCCAGGCACGTCAAATGTTGTTTTCTAATAGTTTTCACTGCTGTGACACTGTGATCGATAGAGGGTTCTCCGGGCTATCTGGTGCTCCTTGAATTAAATCCATACGATCATTCCTACCGAAGCTACGGTTAAATGTGTGGTTTTAATTGCATTCGCCCATTGTCGGCAATTTGCACGCTTATACACCCATTACCAACCAATTCTAACAGTTTTGTCCTACAGGAACCGGTGTGGACCAGTAAGCTGGCTAAACTCCGTGTACGTGTGGCTTCGTTGTGACACATTCACCTACGGTAACCAACGTCGAGAGTGCGACCGGAACAAAGAACGCAAGCATCACTCTCCCTCTACCACACGTGACCAGACAAGGGCAGCGTAGGTTTGCCACAACAGCCCTCAATGGAATTGATTCCACCCAACCTCCAATGTGATGAGCAGAGTTGTACACGCCTAGTCAGAAGAGCCATGAGTTGTGACTTTTGTTGCTTTCCGTTACATCCCTGCTGTGCTGGTTTAACCAACTTGACTGACGCGTTATGGTTTTTTCAAACATGCAAAGCAATCATAGTATTCAAGTGTACAATATCGCTCGTGAAAAGTGTGAAAAACTGTCTGAAACCTTCCAGTTGATAGCTAGCTTCAAGACTTTGCCATTAGAATTTAACAACACCTACCTTGTTCTGCAACAAAACCCTCGGACCTATGACTCTAAGTCAAAGTTTAAAGTCAGGCTTGCAAACCGCCCAACGGCAATTGCAACACCTATCCGACAAATATTACCCCTTTAAGTAGGCAAGCCACATGCGGTGTGACTACTATTAACTCATCCCTGGATAGCAAAATCACGACTTGGTCAAACCACCGACAGTCTCGAGTCGAGTAACATACGCATCGGTCGCCTCGATTAAAACTCCTATGGAGACACCCGTACGTCTAGCTGCTGGACAAAGAACGAGCAGTGCGGCGCCATGTTTACAACGTTCTTCAGTGCCTGCCAAACAATCTAAGTTAAAAGCCACAACACTCAAACCGACATTCGCTAAACAGAACCACAGTATATTAACGGTTGTGTGTACTAACGTTCCTGGGTCCAGATCTTGCACAATAAAGGGCAAGTTGATAAATGATTGCAACCAGTGGAATTCCATCCGCGATGCGATTGGTATTCGGGTTGAGCCAACTTGGCTACAACGCGTAACCCGTCACCCAAATTCAGTGCACTGCGGCAAACTCCGATTGCTTAGAATAACCTTGCACTAAACTGAGAAGACAGGGTAGTCCTGCACTCAACAGTTCATCTTTACAACCCATCGAGCGTGGTACTACAAGATCTTCTTCGGAAAGGAGGGCCAAATTAAAAAGAAAACCATGGCGCCCCTCCTACGAAGGAAGGCAAGCAAACCGGTATTGTTCATGCTGTTTCTGAACTACTGGACTCCCTTGATCACGAAGCGCAGAAAAATGACCCAGAGCAGTGATGTTACATCTGCGAAACACTCTATCTAGACATCATTATTGCTAAATCAATAACGAGAATTCCTTCAACTCCACACTACAACAACTGCGGTACAAAAATATTGAAGGCCGTGTTATACTCCGATGGAATGACAGAAGTCCCATTGAATACCTGGTTGAAGCAGCGCTTCAGGCTACCTACCAAGATTAATCTAAAGATAGCAGGCGCATGGCCACTAATTGTCGGCACTTCATTGGAACATGCTACCTCAGTAAGATATTCACCTCCACAATCCTGCAGAGTTGTAGACAATATAGCATTCGCGACACCTGACGGGACAGGGAGACACACCAGTGCACACCTCGATCTGGGATGCTCTGTGTTACCAGGCAGCCTCTTGGAAATTCACGAACCAATAACTCACACAAAAGACGACTAACGACCGACCGATGAAGTAAACACGAATTTGTTATCCACCGCACACACATGCACACTTTTAAGAGCAAAAACACTATCATGTTTGCATACTAACGCCCAAGATTTTCGTGGTAAGTTGTCCGAACTTAGAGAACGCCAGGCATCATGACCGCTGGATCTCATTATGAACACGGAGACCTGGTTAAGTCTTGAGATAGCAGATTGTGAACTCAATATACCTAGTATGTTGCTGCTTCGGAATGACAGAACTCGAAGAGTTGGCGGCGTAATTCTGTATTACGAGGCCAACTTCCGATGTGCACTTATTGACTACCCAGAATCCGTGCCCCAGCTTCACTTTGGTGCTGGCTATAGATGCGGAACAAAAGCACAGGTCTTCTAACTGCGATTTGCCGTCCATCAAACTAGACGTGTGCAATGGACTCCAAACTAAACCATGTTCTTCAGGTTGTTTGGAACAAGACATATAGTCCCATTCTCATCGCAGGCGACCCTAGTGTGCACAATCTGGAAGTAATGGCGATCGATAGCATGCGGTTCAAAGCCTGTTTACAAGAGGTAATGTCCAGCTATCCTCTGTATTATCACGTGACCTCCTCACAAGGTTTCGAACTGCTAACGAACCGTCAATACTTGATTTGTGCTCACCAACGAAGAACGCATGGTCGACGGAATAATTACAAGCACATCCCTGGGTCGCAATGACCATGTGACTACTGTTTCACTACATATGTTACGCGGAATATCCTGAGAAAGAGGTTGATAAAGTGTAAACAGTCGCGCATTAACACGTGTTATCTGCGCTTGTTCAAGAGGGATCTTGAATCTTCCTAAATGAATGCCCGACAGAAATCGTCTGGGACACTTTCACAAGGACATTTACCACACTGCCAACGCACGCGTCTGAGCAGAAATCTATCGTCAAAAGAGAAGCAGGTAATTTATGAGGAGCAGAACAGGCAAATGCATGTCCTTGAGGGCCTTAGCATGGAGAGCACACAAGAACTCCCCGAATTCCAAAACCTGGACTGCCTATTTGGCACAACGAAGCTTCCGAGTGAGCTTGATCCGCCAGGGCAAGGTGACGCATCAGTAGGTCAATGAAGAGATTCGGCACGAACTGCAAACTCTTATGGTTGGCGGCATCCGGTTTCAGGTTTGCCTGTCACTATGGCCAGCCATAGGACGCCTGCGCCTAAAGGGGGACCATGGTTGGCTTGCGCCGCACTACCCACAGCTCCAACCACACATCCCATATCTAGTGCAAACCCGAAGGAATAAGACTGGGAGGCACATTTCATCAACGGAGCCGGCCGACACTCAATCACTGGCAAACACATGCACGCTGTATTTGGGTAAACAAGCGCACACAAGACGGTGGCCGGACCGTAGTCTGCTCCACACTGAGTGCATGGAACCACTCTTCGAGCCTAACGCGGCCACAGAGACCATGCATTCCGTCCCCTCCAGCAACGACCAACTGTCTCCTGGAGCCAGTATGGACGAGGTAGTGGGTAACAGACAGGTAGACACTTTATCAACATGCACATCAAGCGCAACCACACCGGGGATTTCAAGCTACAGCCATGCACTTGTAACGACAAGATGAAAAATATAAGTCGGATAATGCATACAGACACGGTAATATAACTATTCAGTAATTGGGCGTATAAAATAAATTGTTTTCGAATGCATCCGTGATAGGATAAACAGGTCAGAAGATATATTTTAAGAAAATGCCAGAAACATGTAAGTGTTATCGAAGTTAACTACCTTTAGCTTATGCGACGTGTGCAAGTTTATAGAAGATATTACAGGTAGACATTATTATGAGAAAGAAAAGCATTAGTACAAAATTGCAAGCCAATAAGCTGACATACAGAGACTTAGCGTGCAAGCATGCGGATAGTAAAACGAATACAGTGTACCTAAAAACGCTGCGCCGGTTCTGCCTACGTTCTCTGCAGGACCAGTTGTCGATTTGCTAGTGGTCCCGAGTGGCCTCATTCATGGCTCACTAGGCCTGCCTGACTCAGGCACTCGCGACCGCATGTGCTACAGCACCATGCGCTCGATGTCGATGGAGTACAACCCATCGGTGCTTGCCCCGTCCGCACTTGCCGCTTCTTCTCTGCATGCATGAGGACTTTCTCTCGCACTTCGGCAGCTGCCTTCGTGATCAGAGCCCGTCATGCACCCCGATCAACCGTCTTCGATTCTCATGACCTGCACTCAAGATTAGAAGGTGAGTGACTCACTTAGATCATGTCATGGTAACGTAACATTGGTTTCCCCACATGCCGCTTCCCAATACTCAGCTAACCGTCTAGAAGTTGTTCCGTTATCCGCGTCGCATCCATGTGGCTCACATAACCGAGCCACCTTGGTGTCTTAGCAAAGTATGCAGTCCACTGCATACCTTCCACTTGGGCGCAACACTTCCATGTCCGAAACTCTGTCGCCTCATCAGATGTGCAGAATTCGTCGTAAACACTGTTGGTGCAAACCCTCGAGTTATTGCACATCCCGCCGGTACATCATACAAGTTTCACTGCCGTATAGAAGAACGGACAGCAGCATGGACTTGCACACCATCAGTTTCGTGCAAATGGTAAGCTGATGGTTGTTTCACACTCGGTACTCTAGCTTCCCGAATTGCGCCGCTGCCCTCGACACGTGGATACGCAGCTCACTGTGTA